GCTTTCAAACTTTTTTTGAAAAATTCGAATCCGTCAATTAGGAGAGCTCTGGCGCTTGTTTAAACATTGGTCGAATTTTTGTACTATAATTTTGTATTTTTGTAATATAATGAGTTAATTTCTTATTTGATTATATTTTAAACCAGTAAATAATATTTGAATTATACTTTAATCACAAAAGAAGTAATGATTAAATTAACAATTAATTAATTAATTACTAATTTTCGACATATTTTGAAAATAATTGTTGTTTAAACAATTTTAAAATATTTAAATAAATTTGTTTTTGATCTTTGATAAACAGTATATAAGTTTATGCACTTACCTTTGATACAATAAAAAAATAAAGTTAATAATTAAAGAAAGTTTAAAGATATAGACATTTGAAAATACGCTAATTGATTTTTTAAAATCGCGAGACTTCGATTTAAAAAAAAATCATCAAAATTGGACCTCTAGAAGCTGAGATATTAACAATTTTTAAGCGCGTCGCGGTTTTGAACTCACCGATTCAATTTCGAGCAGGCCGAAGCGGCCACGCTCTCTGCGCCCCCCACCACCACCGCCCGTACGATTTTCTTGAATTTCTTGCTTGCATAACTAACTTTAAACATGTTTTAAAGTAGGTTGCCAATAAAGAAAAGTATTGCAAACTTAGGTACTGGTACCTACTCGGAATACCAAAGGTATTTTTCGATGTCATTTAGTGTAAGTGACGGTTAACTTTGATCGGCTGTAACTACGTAACTAATTGACCAATCGATCTGTTTTCTTTTTAAAGAAGCGTATTTCCAAAAACTTTTAAAACCTGCTTTAAAAAATTTGATTTGATTGAATATTCACAAAGTTATTCTAATTGCTAAGTACAAAAATTCGACCAATATTTAAACAAGCGCCAGCACTCTCCTAATCGACGGATTAGAATTTTTTAAAATCGTTTCAAAGCTTGAGAGCCCTTCTATATGTGATTAAATTTTCAAGTATCTAAGGGCCTTGGTTTCTGCTGTGCAATATTTTGAAAATTTGCAAATTTTTTTTTCAAAATCTGGATTGCAAAATTATTATGCAAAATCTATAGCACCGATTTTGATGAAATTTTTTGTGATGATTCTACATAACATGAAGTTTTCTTGAGCCAAGTATGAAGGTCCTATACCCAATTTAAAGACCCCAAAAAAATTCCCTAAAAAGTAATGTTTTTAGCCCCATTTTTGGCGATTTTTTCGATTTTTACAATAATAACCATGATTCATTCTATTTGTAACTA